GCTCTCCAAGTCCTGTGCCAGACGAACAATACTAAGGAAGGGGCAGTGTTACGACAGCGGAAGTCACGTGATTCTGGTAACACGTCATGAACTTCTAGAACGTTCATGTCCCTTCCTGAAGTCTCAAGTGTTTACTAGATATATAAGCCGCCAAGTTAACTAACGACCAGAGACGTAACAATAGAGAACATCAATTTTCATCTAAAAGACGTGGCCGCTATCAGTCGATGTACAATTGTGACCTCACTTTGATTGACAGGTGAGAGACGGCCTGATGGACACAATATTGAGTTGAAAGAGACCGTCTGGGACTGGGGAACAGGTGACCACAAGCCGAGTTGACTAGTATGCGGGTCTGGACTCGACATTCATTTAAATAAAATAAGTCACAAAGTGGACGAAGACGATTGACGTCATTAATCGCATAGCACCTTTTCAGGCAAGATAATAATATGCGTGTGAGTCTCGGAAATAAGTTCTCTTGATCTGATATACTCAGTCGAGGTGGTGATGCCAATTTGAGTGGGTGTGGGTTTCTCTTCTACTGTACTTTGATTTTATTGTGACCGGGAGTGTATATCGTTTTTATTGCGTCTTGAGAAAACATCCAACGTAAAAATTAAACGAATTACAAGTTTCTTTTCACCTTCTTTTAATAAGAAAGCTAGAATAAGTGAGGAAATGACCCAAGAACAGGAATTAACGGTGTCAATGACAGTTTCTGTTCCTGGTCCCTCCGGTGTCCACGAGCTATCTGACAACGACTGGCTTAGCTGCTGGACTGCCCATCCAAAAAATGATTTTTGCAGGAAGTACAATTGGCTGAATATAAGAAATAGCAAACTTGGGTGTTCACCTTGCCATAAAATTGGAACTTTTAGAGTGAAAGCAGAAATGAAAGTATCTAAAGAATGAGCCAACAATGAAATAACTTATTTTGTTGAAAGTCCACAGCAACAGCCTCTGTCCTTGCGGAAAAAACTTTTCGATCATAAGGAAACTGCAGTAAAATTGTTGTTTGAAGTTGAGAAAGAGACCATTGAAAATGCATGTTTGAAAGCATTATCTCACGAAAAAGTGATTATCGCAAGGATATTTCGCACAACATATAAGGTAGCAAAAGAAAAGCAATCATTTCATAATTTTGAATCTGAAATATATTTACAAGAACTAAATGGAATTGACATGGGCATATCCTTCACTCAAGAATGCATGTATCAACATCGTGAATCATATTAGTGACGAAATGAAAAAAATACTAATTAATATAGTTACTAAATAAAAAAGTACACTTTCATTGATAATCGAGGAGTCAACTTCTTTGAGTAAAAAAATCTACCTTAATAGAATACGTTCGAATCTGTATTCCGGACAATGGAATGAACTCGCTGTTAAATTTATTTTTGGACTTGATCAAACTTGAAAATTTTACTGCAAAAGGAATTTTTTGATTCTTTACTCAATTGTCTTCAGTCTTGGAGAGTAAAAGTGGAATTGTGTAATTGTGTGGCACTGTGCTAATCATAGATTAAAACTGTCAGTCGGTGACACTGTAAAATCAGTCTCAGGGATCAACAGATTTAAAGCTTTTATTGATAAACTTTATGCCTTGTATCACACGTCACCTAAAAATAGCAGAGAACTCAAAGTGTGCGCGAACTTGCTGGAGATTCAACTTTTAAAAATTGGCCAAATTTTAAGCACTGGATGGATGACATCTAGTTGTCAGTTAGTTTCAACTGTTTGGGAAACTTTGAAGCGTTAGTGCAACATTTCGAAGAAGCGAAGCATGATTCAACAAGACAAAAAATAGCATTGTGCATATGAGGGCTTGCAGCGAAAAATTACAAGCACAGAATTTCTATTGGATCTAGGATTGATGTGTGATGCTCTCCAAGAATTATCCAAATTGAGTTTGGACTTACAAGAGCGCGATATAGACTTGTACAAGGTGGATCAAAAGATAAAAGCTCTAGTACAAATTTTTAAAGAAAGGCGAATTATTCCAGGCCCATATTATAAAAATGCCACTGAAGCCGCTCAAAATCTTCACTTCTGGGGAGTGTCACTTCACAACAAAGATTGCAAAAAGGATTCTCCGATTAATCCTGAAGCTTTTTACAGAATCTTGAAAAAATTTATAGAAAATAGGTTACTTGATAGTGGAGATGGTGATATAGCACAGTGTGCATGCGTGCTTGATAAAAAAAACATTGGCCTGAAAACGTTGATGCTCATTTAACACTCAGCGAGATGGAAGTCAGAAAATTATCAATAAGACTTCAACTAAATAAAAGAGATATGATTTGTGGATTTCGTAAGTATTTGATAGAAAAGATGGTTCTGGAAAAATTGTAGCGTTTGAAACACGCTCTGGGTACTATTATCATTTCTCCCAGTTAATGTGAACGAAAGTTTTTGCAGATAAATTTGATTGTCACCCCAACCAGAGCTTCATTGATGACAAAAACCGTGGACTGGCATGGCCAGGTGGGCAGGGCACTTGGCTCGCAATCTGAGGGTCACGAGTTCGAATCCTCGTCTAGCCAAACATGTTAGCCCTTTCACCCATGGGGGCGTTATAAAGTGATGGTCAATCTCTGTTCATTGGTAAAAGAGTAGCCCAAGAGTTGGCGGTGGGGGAGGGGTGATGACTAGCTGTCTTCCCTCTAGTCTTGCACTGCTAAATCAGGGATGGCTAGTTCAGATAGTTTTCGAGTAGCTTTGCACAAAATTCAAAACTAACAGACAAAAACTGTTTTGGCATTTTTGTTCATTAAACATGTTTGACCGCCTCTTCCATGCTTTGACCAAAAAAGTATGTAGTAATGCTTGCTCCTAAAACGTCAGTCAGCAGTAGATACCAAAAGCAAGGAGTAAGATCTGAATATTGTGTCAGATGAAAACATGATGAAAATTTGGAATTTTCTATGAAAAGGTAATTTATTATGTTTTCATCTCTCAAGTTTTTATATATATGAGTACTGGTATATTTTTTTTCGAAAAAAAGCGCTGGGCAGACCTATTAGTGCGAGAACTGTTCATGATCACGTGTTCAACAGACACGTCACTGTTCTTAAAGGAGAGAACACAAAAAGACATAGACGAGATGATCAACCTGGCAGAACAGTATATGGAAGCCCGTGGAGGTAGTATAGCTGTCAAATCAGAGAATATCTAGTTACATTTGAAACCAGTGATGGCTGACCAGAAGCAGGAGTTTGCCGAAGGTGATAGGAGGGTAATAGACAGATGGAGTGTAAGTCCATCACCAACAAACAACAGCAAAAATCTCAACATAAAGCAGCTGGAGTTATTTACAAAGTGCTGGTAAGAAACAGGTCATGGGAACTTTCTCACTGTTTCATCAATTAGAACACATAAGCATACCTTACCTGTCGTCTGATCATCAAATACTAGACTGGTTCCTGCCCAGTGCCCTTTACTTTCTTGTCCCCAACATAGCCTTCACATATTGGCATATTATGATTTGTTGCACCTCTTGATATTTGTCACGTGCTCTCATCAATATTGGTACTGTTGATCCATTTGCTAACTTGAGCCAACCAATCAACTGTGTTTTCTTGTATTGAATCTAATGAGTAGTCTTGATTCTCTTTCTTCTGGCAGCAGCATCCATAGTGCTTGGTACTATTTTCAAAAATACAGGTGGATATTCCATATTACATATGAGACTTTAAGACCATGTGTATCAAGGAACCAATACACGACTTGGTGATAGGAAACATACCAGTCAGTAGATATTTAGGGGAACTAGACAGAAAAGAGATTGATGAAAAGAAAAGAAGAGCAAACAAGACATCGAGTCCCTGCAAATGTCAAAAGGCGACATCCCGAATGTAGGATTACAGGAACTGAAGGAAGCACAAAAGATAGACCCTTCACTGCAGAAACTTTGAGACAATGCTCAGGAGAAAGTCGAGCACAAGACAAAGAGGAAAGATACTTATAGAATAGAAGACCGGAAAGGAGTGTTATACCGAATCTATCAAGACAGTTATACTGGGAAAGTTAAACAAATTATAGTACCAACAGAATACCGGACTCAAGTGACGAAGATGGCTCATGAATCAGTTGTGAGATAACACCTAGGAACATAGAAAATGATAGACAGAATCACCAGTAACTTCCGAGATGTGAGTAGATTCTGCAGGTCATGTGACATCTACCAAAGGACAATACCTAGAGGGAAGGTAGCCAAAGTGCCATTGGGGGAGATGCCTCTCATGGGAGAGCTATTCAGCAGAGTAGCTGTGGACTTGAACAGGCCACTAGCAGCTGTATCTGACAAGGGCAACTGGTACATGCTGACAGTAGTCGATTATGCAACATTTTATCCAGAAGCAATAGCACTGGCAAAGATAGAGACAGAGAGAGCAGCAGAAGTCCTCCTGGAGATATTTTGCAAACTAGACTTCCAGAGTGAAATCCTGAGCGACAGAGGGACCCAATTTACTTCAGAACTGATGCAGGAAGTGTATAGACTCATCAGTACTCGGCAGCTCTTTACGACCCCGTATAATCCTAAATGTAATCCTTGTGAGACAGTCAGTGCAGTTTTAAAGAGTATACTAAAGAAGCTGTGTCAAGAGAGACAATGGGACTGGGACAGGTACTTGCAGACAGTATTATTTGCTTATCAACAAGTCCCACAAGCAAGTACAGAATTTTCACCCTTCGAGTTACTGTATGGAAGAATAGTACGAGGTCCGATGCAAATAATGAAAGAGCTATATGGGCGGGAGAAGAAAAGTTAGAAGTAAGGAACACATACCAGTATGTGTTAGACTTCAGAAACCGACTGGAGGAGACCTGCTAATTCACTCAACAGAGCTTGTATGCAGCTCAAGGCAATCAGGAGCATTTCTATGACAAGAAGGCCAAGGATTAACATTTCTAGGTCGGACAGAAGGTTTTAGTTCTGCTGTCCACAGACCACAACAAACTCACCCTGCATTGGAAAGGACCTTTTGAAGTACAGGAAGTACTCAACAGAATAGACTACCAGGTGAATGTGAACGGGAAGATCAAGATCTACCATGCCAATATGTTGAAGAAGTATTTTGGGAGAGAAGAAGACCTAATGGATGCAGCTATTGAAACAGAGATAGATGTTGCAGGTGTGGCCATCATAGATGCAGAACCAGAAGACAGTAACTTTGTCTTAGAAGATGAGGACCTACTAGACCTAAGACCACTAAGTGGAGATGAGACATACAAAGATGTCAACATCAGCAAAGAACTGACTGGTAAGCAGAAAAAAAGCATTACAAGACCTACTGTTCCAGTATGCACATATCTTCATGGTTAAACCAGGAAAGACAGGCCTTGTGCAACACAAGATCGAGACCACAACTAGAGATCCAGTCAAAGTTAAGCCCTATCGGATGCTTTATGCAATCAGAGACCTGATAAAGCAGGAAGTTGAAGCAATGTTGGAAGCTGGAAGCAATTATTATAAAGGAAACATTATGACAAGTTTAGTTACATAACTTGGTAAGAATCGTATATATAAATCATTGATATTGAGGCTATCGAATGTCGCGTGAAATTTATTGATCTCGAGGATATAGAAATTTCTAGAAAGTGAGCAGACAGTTAAGTGAAAAATATATAAATAGTATGAGATGAGCAGGAACAGCAAACAAACAGAGCAGAGGAGAGACCAGAGAGCGGGAATGGAGCCAAAAGTAAAGTGGAGTGAAAGAGAGTTTCATTCAGGGAAATGTTAGAAAACATAAAGCTAGCTGTCATAGGAGTGAATAGCCTAACGGTTGATATGTTAAAGTCAGATCAACAGTTTTCTACATTTTATGAGAAAATTTTGTCTCATCAAAGGGTGTTCTAAAGCCATTGACTGCCTGTGTGGACTTTGACAAAAAGCAGACGATTATTTGGAAGTAGACTTATATGCAAAAAATCAGACGTTTATTGGAAGTAGGCTTAAATAGGAAAAAAGCAGACGAGTATTGAAAGTTCAGGATGCAACTGCAGTAACACAATGAGGCAGCATAGGTGAATTATACACCAATACTGTTGTGATAAAAAGAAAGAGAGAGAAAGAAGAAAAGGAAAAATTAATTATACATTGATAGTGTTTAAGATACAAATAGTACAGCTTGTTAACAGAATTCTAAAGCAATTGAATTGGCCTAAGTGGACTTTTGATAAGAAGAAGAGAGCCATAAAGTATTTAAGATACAACTATGATATACATAGTGTAAATAATTTATTGTATACGTTTTAAACTTGTTTTGAATTTAATATTTTACAAAAAGTGGAGTGTGTGCTGCTCATTCCTTGTCCAATAAGTGACAGACACATACTGTAAAAGAATCCTTAGCCCAAAATACCCACATACTTACTTTAATATACAAACTAAAAAGTAAATAGCATTCAACATATTGACAAGTCGATTTGTTTCTTTTATATTTTACATAAGCTAAAAACATCATAATTCTAGTCACGAGTAAAATTATGCCAATGCTGAGTAATGGAACTTATTATTTAATTAAGGCAGCACTAGTACCGCGACTTTTTTGAGCTGCTTTGTCATTTTTTATGTTTACATGTAGATTTTTTTCCTTTTTTCAAAAACAGGTTGACTTCATCCAGCTGAGTACCTTAAAAAGCTTAAGTACTCAGTGAAACAGGAATTATCAGCCACTAATAGATGAACATTAGATGACTGTAACATCTAGATATTCAATGCTTTGTACACTATACAATCGGTGTCTTTAGGGAGCGAAACCTTATATTATGCATGAAGTCAAGGAGTAAAAGAAATCAATACACATAATATTACATTTTATTACACACATTCGTAGAGTAATTTCTTTAAAAGTTACGAAAGTTTACCTAAAGTGATGTTTTAGACGTATATGTTTTATTTGTAAAGGCTGCTTTTCTACTGGTAAAATTTTATACGAGCTTAGTGGGGGTTGTTTCTTAGTCTATGCATATATTTGCCTATTGCTATGCATTACATATAGATAATTTAATTACATAGAAACTATAAATGCTCACCATATTCTCAAATAAATATTCATGACAATCTCCAGCTGCAGCTTAACATTTTACACCTCGACCGAATGTGATCAAATGGTAAATAGCTACAGCAAATCATCATGAACCGTGTCAGCTAGCTACTAGCTATGTTTATTATCATTACAATGCATAAAGTTAGCTACCATATCAAGTAATCCTTTGCCCATAGTTGAGCTTAAAAATGCCAGCAAGTAAGATAAGTAAAAAATTGGAATTTAAAAATCTGAAAATAGGAATCGTAAAAAAAAGTAAGGAAACAAGGCTGGAGATACTGTAGACATTATTTACTCAAACTACAAATCCCTATTTTTACTCCATCAAATGTAATTCTAGGTAACAGCATGGAGCCAAAGTAGGGGTTTGTAGTTTGAGTATCTACAATATCTCTAGTATTGTGTCCTTACTTTTTTATGATTCTTATTTGCAGGTTTTTAAATTCCCAATTTTTTATTTATCTTGTGTTAAATACAGAGCTACACAATGAAATATCTGTGATGTGCTCACAACTGTCATTAAACTCATTATCACCCTTTAAATTTGTCGATGAACTATTAGGGGCGGGGGTAGGTAAACAAATTATTAACCCAGCATAACGTTTGGTGGAGTTGAATGACATAGTAAGTGTGAAAAGTTAAATGCTTAGGAGTGTGTTTGAGTATATACGTTTATGACGAAGAAAGCTATATATATATTTGTGTTGACCATGTTAGTTGCGTGGTTTGTACTAAATCAAAGGTCACACCATGGAAAACAATTGACTCAGCATAACTTTTTTATGGCGTATTCTATTCTTGAGTGGACTCTCGTATTATTTGATAAAAACAAGACCAAGCTCAATTTACGTAATTATCATTTGTACACAGTATTACTTTTAGGCCTGAGTTCACAAATAACATTTTCATTTTCAACAGATATTTATTCGATTGTTAACAAATCTGACTAACTTATTGATTTAATTAAGTCGATAAATCTTCTCTCAATCAACAACTCTAAGCACTGAATTCTCAATCACTACTGAGTAACTTTTCAATAAATACTTCACTGACTGTCACTCTACAAACTCCTTAACTGCTTTTTCGTGTTTATAACTAATCTGCTCATTTATATCTAGGTCGAATTTACTAGATCTTATCTAACATTTAAAATTAAAATTGAAAATATAGCTTACAACATTGCCCCTTCCTGGATTGTGAGTTCCCTTGAACAATCCTAATACAAAAATAATGAAACACTACACTAAACTGTCTATTCATTTTGTCTTTTTTTGATTGTTTTCGTTTTCAAGGTCTATGTATGCAGATGGAATAACCTTTTGTCCCTTATCATCATTTGCTGTCCTGCTGTGCTGGGGAAGTTCTTCCTAGATAGGTCGTCAAGTAAATACACTGAAGGCTCTATCCATATATTGATCATTCTCTCGTACTTCCAAAGACTATCACGGTGGATGACCCTTGGCTTGGATTGACTGTCCCTCTGAGATGACATCATCGATTCTTTTCATTACTCATATAGTCCCTCCCAACACCTACCTACCTGTGATACAAATGTTCAGTCATACCGTGTCACCTTGATGAAATCTGGTTCAATCAGCATTAAGATCATAGTAATTTTGAGTTTACCACAAGCATATTTAAGTCCTTCTTGGGTAAAACCATTTATGACATCTTTATTCTTCAGATTCATGAGATATTTTCCAACCATCAATCCCTCAGGGTGTGCTGGAGTATTTGGTTCAATTATGCCTCAGTCAGCAGATTTAAATTCATTGCTAATAACTCTTGATATGAGTAGTTCACTTCTTGTTAGTACAATAACTACCCTTCCTGTTACCAGTGGAAGTCCAACCTCTGGTATAGTATTGCAGTGTAGTACATAAGGATTTCCTAATCATATACTGTGAAACTATTTTAAACCAGCCTAACCTTACATCCACGAGTGAAATAAGTTATCAGTATGCACTCTTCCTCAATGCCAATTAACCACACATCATGAGGTGTAGAAAAGTTTCTTTATTAAACTTGGTACCAAAAACAGATTATCCAAATTAGTTTCAAGTTTTTGTTCTCTGATATTTTAATAAAACCCAATGCACCCACGTAAACCACGTGATTTCATTATCCTTGCTTGTATGCAAGCAAGCATAACTCTTACTCGCAAAAATATATCATTACTATATTTTTATATTTACAGATATAATTCAGTATGGGTAACTTCCACCTTCCCTTTTATTGGAACTTTATTTCCACTTGCTGCTCACATCAATTTTTTTCTTCATCTCTAGAGGCAATATTACGCCTTCAATTTACAATTGTAGTTGTAGAAACAGTGTCAATCAACATACTGTAAGGCTTCCTATCAGTAAACCCGTGTATTCTTGAACTGGTTTCTTTGAATTAGGAACTTTTTATCTAATTTGCAGCAGAGGGGGTATTCTCAGCCGAACTTAGTCCTATACGTCCAGTTAATTCATTTTTATTTATGTATGGTTAGCTCTTTATTGTTGTTTTTTTATCTGGCTGGGCCCTAAAACTCATCATTAAGATATTATACCATTGTTGCATGACCAGTTGTTGATTCCTGATTTCTTACAATCTTCGTTGTAATGGCTAGTTTTCCCACATCTATAAAAATTCCCACTTCCAGGTATCATCTGAGAAAAGTTCATATTCTCTTGTTAGAGTTTTGTATAAGGGACTGGATTCTTTACAGTTGATGTCTGACTTGTTGGCGATAAATGTCAACAATAAACGTACAGCACACAATTCACTAGTTATAAAATAATGTATTCAAAACAAGTCAAACATATTTGCAAAAATTCGTTTCACTATTGCTTATGAAAGTTGTATCTAAAGCTTTAAATAACTCCCCTTCTTGTCAAAAGTCCAAACAGAATAGTTCAGTTACTTTAGAACTCAACTGACAAAAAGAATTAATTTTCTCTGCTCTGTTTGTCACTGCACAACCTGCGAGAGATTCAGTTACATTACCTCATGGGTTACCACAGTTGTATCCAGAACTTTAAATAATTGTCTCCTTTTCGTCCAGGCGTGTTCAATTATTTTAGAACATCCTTTGACAAGACAAATTATTCTCTTTTATCTCTGTTATTATAATACCACTGTGAAACTCATTTTAAATATTGCCCATTATGTTTAAACGAACAATCACGAAGTCCCACTTCACTTTCGCTAACTAAACGTTTTATGACATAACTTTTTCTGACTTCTTCTTTAGAAATCGCCCGTCACGACTAAACTGCCAATCACTCATTCTAGATCTGTCTAATTATCTCTCTTGCTTTCTTGACTTCCTCTCTGTGTCTGTATGTATTTATAACATGTAACAGAAAAATTTATAAATATCTAGCCCTCTAGTAGCAATAATATTACAAATAGTTAGAAAAACTTGGAAATTTTGTGTAAGATGACGTCAAGAATATTACTGACGCCTAGTACAACAAACTGCAAATGACGCGCCTCTGGGATCTTTGCTGGGTCCACTAAAACATTTATTGGGCATAGTTAAGATAACTGTATGGATAATTGTAACGAGGATACTGTGATTTAACATAGAGACTTGGATGAGTTGATTGGGTGGGAACCACATGGCAGATGTAATTTAATTATTATAAGTGTAAAGTCATGATTGATTATTATAATATAAATTGCATACATGATGTAGATGCGAATCTCCTTAATTATGAGGATAGCAAAAAGGATCCTAGGATATTAATTGATACAACTCTTAACCCTTCGAGACAATGTTCTACTGTAAGCTGTAAAACTGTGGTATTTTCATGTGAACTAATGTCCCTACATGTATCAGATAGTTGAATCCGCTAATAACAGCAGATTCGATCAGGAGATGGGGGAGTAATGCGCTCTTGATAATTTGATTGAGTTGTGAAAAAATAAACAGATTGGGCACGTATGATGGACAGTGAAAACTATTTTTATTTAGACACAACAGCAAAAAGCTAACAAAAAAACGTATGGACAGTCACCTATAATGGATCAGAGAATAGCTCGTCAAACTAGTCACGATGAAAACCAAGTAAAGATGAACTAAAAAAGTGCAACTGATTTCAACAGGTAAGTTCAGTTTCTTTTTCACAGGGGTGACACCGTTACATCTATATCCTTTGTTCTCTTACAGCACTGATTGGCTGTATCACTTAGACAATGTCGAACAGGCCAAAAATGGACATGATATTTAATACTTTTAAATGTTTCTGATAATTCCATCAATAAATAGATAAAGTCTAATGTTGGTGAAGAAATCATTTACTGTTTCATTAATACTTGACTTTTTCATCCATGGACTGGCAAGTAATTTTGTTGTGATTTTGTGTTTTGACCACTTTAGGAATATAAGACAAGAGCATGCTTTTATGAAAACTTGAGAGTAAAGTGTGTTTTTTCTTTAGCTTTTCAAGGAAAATATGTAAGCATAGTTGGTGTCTTTAACTTTAATCTCTATCAATAATGAAAAGATATTTGAAACATTTTGTTTATTTTTCTATTTTTCCGTTGTCTTTCGTACAAAGATAATCAGAGGCGTTACCTATAACCACGCCTGTGAAAAGAAATATTCTTATATTATCTTCTATACTGCTGATCTCAAAATAAACGTAATAGATGAAATTAAAAGAACATTTAATGATCCTATTAAGTCAATTAGAGAGTTTATGGGCGAAATAGATGAAGGTTCTTAGGGGTAGCTAAAGGAGAATAGGGACCTATTGTGAAAAAAGTCAAAGGCTTGTTTTACAAATTTACTAAACATTATTTAGAAATGTAATGGTTTGAAAACTCTATGTGGTGTGTATGTGGGTCTGTGTGTGATCGCCATAACTCCAAGAGGAAAGAACCTAGAAACCTGAAATTTTGCACACATACTAAGTGGACCCTGAGGGTATGTACCTGGACATTACTACTTATCCACGTTCGTGCGCGCGTGCGCATCTTTGTATGAAGTAAGGTAGGGAAAAACACATAGAAAATAATACGTGACTGCCATACATCCAAGAGGAAAGAGCCTAGAAACCTGAAATTTTGCACCCATAATAAGTGGACCATGAGGGTATGCACATGGGGATTATTACTTAACCACATGCGTGTGTGCGTGCGCATCTTTTTAATGAGGTAAACTAACCACATAGAAAAGAAGTGGTTCCATATATTACAATTAGAAATCTCGGAAAGATAGACAGTAAAACACGCGCGCACGTGCGTGCGCGCATTCGTGTCTGCGTGTGTATGACTGCCATAGCTTCAAGAGGAAATAACCTAAACCTGAAATTCTACACCCATAATAAGTGGACCCTGAAACTGTGCAACTAGGTATTATTACATATACACGTGTGTGCACATCTTCTTATGAGACAAACTAGCGAAAACCACATAGAAAATAAGAGTAACCACCATAGCTCCAAGAAGAAAGAACCTAGAAACCTGAAATTTTGCACCCATACCAAGTGGACTCTGAGGGTGCGCAAATACATAATATTACTTATATTATCCACGTGCGTGCGCGCATGCGCATGCACATCTTTTTAATGTGGCGAGCTAACGAAAACCCACATAGAAAAGAAGTGGTTCCTGATATAACAATTTTTAATATATATAGAAAAGTCAATGTGATTTGGTAACAATGAATTCCAACAATGGCTTTTATGTCATGTTGCTTAGCAACAAAATAATATAGGTTATACGTTTATGCTAAAATGGGTTCAAAATACACGCACTAACAAAGTCATCTAGAATATATCATCCTAATAACCCGAGCGAAACTGGGTAATTTCACTAGTATATATATATATATATATCAGTGTCACATATTATTGTATATGCTTAAAGTATCCATCACATCATTTAATCATGCATGCACAGTAGCCATGAAAACCTAAACTTCTGTGCTCATTGGCTCTATCTATCACCATACGACCATCTATGAACTGAAGAACAAGACTCTTTTCAGCTGAAATGTACACAGCCTGGATCATTATTCTTGCTGTCCAATACAAAACACGGTAGATACTTAAAATCAATGCCGGCGAAGTATCACATTAAACAGTGAAATACATTTATTGTCCTAGAAAAATGTAAGCATTAGAAGTAGTTAATGGTTCAATCTACCTACTACAGTCAGCAAAATAAAATGAAAAAATAGAAATGAAATTTAATGGAACCAGGACTTTCCCACTATGAAGATTGATTCATTTCCTGTACTCCTTTACTGTAAGGTCGAATCAACATACAGGTTTCACATACATAAACTTGTGCATTCGTACACACAAGCAATTTCATATAAATGTTTTTCATATAAACATCCGGCCAATATTTAACATAAAATTACATCCGGCAACTCATCAAGCGAGGACAGCAAGATTCTCTCAGCATACAAACCCTTTTTTAGCGATCATTACCTGTCATGCCAACTGATAGTGTTCTAGACATTAGATCTACTAATCTCAGCTGTTATAATTGTATTATAGTCGAGCAGCTATCATACAACGTTCTGTAAATATCTCATAATGAAACTGTTTAATTAATAACTTAGAAAGCAGGAAATATCACTTCCTTTGAGTCATTGACTTTTCATTGAAGTGACCATCTTAAATATTGATCCAGCAGCTATCCCCTCCAAAATAATCAAAAGATGAATGTACTTATCTTGGAAAATCATTAGAGCTATCAATGATGCTCCTCCACTGGCACTTCCTTGTCAGACTTTTTAAAGACAGCTATATACATGCGGCTAGCTTATTGCTTTTCACCAGATGAGTCAAAATCCTACAATATAGTATTTTTGTTACCCTCTGATTCAAAAATTTTCTCCTCTGGTTCCTGGTCGAACCAGGAAAAGGTTCGTCAGTAACATATGACTTTAACTTGTCAATATCTTCAATGTTCTTAATGGAGCACAGCTTGTAGGTAAATGAACGGAGTTGTTACAGAACAATAGGGGTTATTGGGTACATTGTATTAAAATTATTTTTGAGCCTCACCACTTTAATCATGTCATCATATCTGGATTTACTTTATCTGACGACCGTGCATCGTAACAATAAGCCTGCAGCATATATTCCATTGTAAAATAATTCAGCGTAAACTACTTGTCATGTCCAAATAAATTGTACCACTCTTCCCTGTGTGTTTTCCATAATCCATTATTGTTCAAAAACGGCGGTTTCCTTGCGCCCATAACAACAGTAGGAAGCAGAAATACACAGGCACTGTGTCTACATGTTGATATGACCGACTTGTCTTTACGTAATATGTAATAGCATGGATACCCATTTTATTCTTCAGCTGCTTGAGGTACGTGATGGGTTAACAGGAGGAATCACTAGAAATCTTATGTTGGTCTCGGTTCTAGATAGAGATTCTTCTTTATTATATTTCTTACAGTGACCTATTATTATTACTATTGATCACCTGGTGCAAGCAATACTTTGTTTATCATGGCTAGGGAACGACTTGTTTCAAGTCTTTTTCTAGAGTGTTCTGGTGCCACAAGTTAATCCATATTCCTTTATTTTCCAATGCCATTAAGTAAAGGATTTGTTTGTTTGTTTATTTTGAATTTCACGCAAAGCTACACGAGAGCTATCTGCGCTAGCCGTTCCTAAGTTAGCAGTGAAAGACTAGAGGGAAGACAGCTAATCATCACCACCCACCGCCAACTCTTGGACTACTCTTTTACAAACGAGTAGTGTGAGTTAAATATAACTGTTGGAGGTATCCCACACTCTACAAAACTTAAAATTCAAAAACAGCTAAAATGGGATACAAAAATGCATCATTTTAAAACAAAATTTCCCCAATGTTAACGTGGCATCATCAGGAATAGTGCGATTGATCATCACGTTATACCACCACCACGGCTGAAAGAACGAGCAAGTTTGGTGGGATGGGGATTCAAACCCTGGCCATGTCGGGCCAAGTAAAGAAGGTATTCCGTCTTGAAATTTTTATATTCCCAATCTGAACAAATCTTTATTATCTGAATGTATGAATACTTTGCATCAGATATGGCTGTTACATAACCCTTCCCAAATGCGATCAATATTCGGTGGCATCACATTATTTATTAAACACTAAAACATGTCAAAATGTAGTTCTGATACATTCCATCATGACTTTATATCGACGGTGACTTGCTGATTTACATATTCAAAATCGTTTAGACGTAATGTACTCTATAAATAATAAAGAAACACCATTCGTTTTACTAATCAATAAAGATACACCACTCACATTGATAAACAATAAATAAACATAATTCGTTGTGGTAAACAATAAAAATATATCACTCACTTTGGTAAACAATAAAGATACGCCACTCACTTTTATAAGAGTCAGGCATGGCCTGGTAGTTAGGGAAACTCGACTCGCAATCTGTGGAATCGAGTCCCGTCATTAAACATGTTTGCTATTTCAGTTGAAAAGGCGTTATAAGGTGATGACCAATCCCACTATTTGGTAGTAAAGAATGGCCCAACTCATAGAAAAAATTACGTTTAATGCATACTAGACAAAACAACATTACACTTGCCGTAAACACAAACAAGACATACGAAAACAGCATCACGCTTGCTACCATTATATGTAAATGATATTAAAAGAAACCCCACAAGACAACACTATGCTTGCCATAATTATAAGCAAGACATACGAAAACAAACCTCACTAATCAACATCACGATAAAAAAAAAGCCAGAAAACACTGTCTGGTCGACAGACTTTATGTCAAAGTTTGACCATGCAAGACTGTCTTTGAATACGTAACGATGTTAAGTTATTTCGTATAGATTAGTGAGGAAAGCGCATTGTTGGAATATGCATATATTTGATATACACACCTTTTTCAGAATATGCATATATGTTGTTTGACCATATTTGAATTTTACAGACATATTTATTGACCTTCTTTAATAGAGCTTTTGCGTGTTAATATTTGTAATTTCGTGTAATAAAGCTCAATCTATTAAATAGATTATTGATAATTAACCGCATTCCTGGAGTGTCTTATCTATTTAAAAGCTTTGTGGTTTCTATTTTATGTTTAAGAAAAACATTGTTCATCATCCTGTCAAGTGGATACCACATAAAAACAGTACAAAGGAGTAAAATATAAATTTGAAAAAAATAATTTAAATTGAACATATATACATGCAAAACATAAAATATTTAACATTTTCACATAATGTAA